TCTTGACACATGGGCAGAAGCTAAAACTGTAAACTAAATACGATCTCTTGTAAAGACTTTCACCAAAACACATGTCCTAGTTCTGATCTTCTAAATGTTTAAATCAATGGTCACTTTAGAGGGTATTCACAGATTTGGGAAATTTTTACCTCAGGACCATATGTTGGATGTAGACAAATGACAGTTTACCCAGTCCATTATTCTTCAATTTCTTGTGGGCAGGCCCTGATAATTCTCCCCAGTTTTCCTTTCTTTCCCTTATAGCTCTTATTTCGTCTTCAGTTGTCTGAGGATGAGGGATATACCTGAATGTTTCTTCCATCCATCCATCCATCGGGGTGGGGCCTGGAGCCTATCCCAGCCGACTTAGGGCGAAGGCAGGGGACACCCTGGACAGGTCGCCAGTCTATCGCAGGGCTACAATTAGAGACAGACCTATGGACAATTTAGAATCACCAATTAACCTCAACATGTTTCTGGACATGTTGGGAGGAACCCAGAGAACCCGGAGAGAACCCACGCTGCATAGGCAGAACATGCACACTCCACGCGAACCGGTGACCTTCTTGCTGGGAGGTAACAGTGCTACCAACTGCGCCACCTTGCAGCCCATGTTTCTTCCAGTTTTCTAAATTTATGGCTATTTCCCTGTGTTCATTTTAACGACTAGAGCTTTAGAAAAGAATGCATTTAACATCACACTCCAAATCAAGCACTATGAAACAATGTGATACAAGTTTAATAACCTGAATGGTTTCATTACATGCCAGTCACAGGAAGGCCTGAATCCTCATGAGCACTGACTCCTCTGCAGTTGGAGCAAATCAGAGCTAATGAGCAGCAGCCGTGCACCAGAACTGACAGGCCTACATAAACCATTTTGGTGGCACTGCTACTTGGTGACTGCAACAATGGGAGCTGTTTGGGCCTTTGTCATTTTTGTGCTGGCTGTTTGGCTAACCAAAGGTTTGTTTGTAATTCATATATAATGGAAGTTTATGGTGAATAAAATGGAAGGGAGCTACAACAAATGTAAAAGTACAGTCATATCATTTCAGACAAAGTTTTTAGACTGCAATAGGTTTTGGTGTAACATTTGAAAGCTGTTTGAAGTCTGTAAAATTTTGAAGTATCAAACAGCACAAACATTTGACAAATGGAAAACACTGTTCACAGGCACTAGTTTGCCAGTTGGTGAAACAAGCCAAAGACATGAAGACAAGCCGCAGAGGAGACAGAATGGTAAGAACATTTGTGACAAAATCACAAAATCTTTTGGGAGCTACTTTCCAACCCTACCTTGATGCCTTTTGTATTACAGACCTGTCTGCCAATGATATTTCGATACAGAAGGCCCTTAAATTTCTCCAGTCAATGGAGTCCATGTTGGATCAAAAAGCTAAAGAAGGTATAGATTTTTTTTTCTTCTTCTTAGCTTCACACTAGCTTAATACAGGCCTCAAAATGTCTAGTCAAATCAAACTGACCCTGACCAGATGGTGCGGGGTTTACTGCAGCTGTTGGTTTTTCTGAAGTAGTATGGTAGACCTACATACTATGACTCTCTAAATGCATTCTGAGCTCCACAATATGTTGCAATATGACCAACTCTAGGACAAAGTATCTGGTTTTGGCTGAGATGTTTAGACTATGGCAGTGTCTTAATGTCTTGTCTTCTCTTTAGTTCAACTGGAAACCAATGAAGTGGAAACTGAGGCATCAGTGAGCCACGTGAAGGTTGTACAACAGGCCGTGGCCAGCGACAACGCCACTGTGGCCGTGGCTGCCTCAGTTAAACATGTGAAGGTTGTACAACAGAGCATGGACAACGCCACTGCGGCGGCCGTGGCCCGCGACAACTCCACGGCGGCGGCCGTGGCCCGCGACAACTCCACGGCGGCGACGGCCGCTAAACATGTGAAGGTTGTACAACAGAGCATGGACAACTCCACTGCGGCGGCGGCCGCTAAACATGTGAAGGTTGTACAACAGAGCATGGACAACGCCACTGCGGCGGCCGTGGTCCGCGACAAC